GGTTTTTACAAATTGGAGTGGTTTTCATTTGATCGCTCCTATATATATATATATATATATATATATATATATAGGCAAGTTTTGTTAGGAACATAAAATTAATTAAGAACCCAAGAATCTCTCACAGTGCGACACGTGAAATATTCATCAAGAACATGGACGCGTGATTCATGATGAATAACACTTTCATATTTATTATGAACGTGTCATTAATGATGAATATTCATCCTAATATGGACATGTAGATGGTTGTAGGTTTTTAATCAATTTTAGATTTCTAACAAAACTTCCCTCTAAATAATATATATATATATATATATATATATATAAAAAGTCGGGTTTATAAAATATCTCCTCTCTCTCTCTCTCTATCTCTCTCTCTCTCTCTCTCTCTATATATATATATATATTACAAATTTTGAATTTATATGATCAAATACGAAATTTTGAATTAATTGATAAATTTAAATAATCATTATATATAATATGAATAAAAATTAAATTGGTCAGTCTTATGCATCCTAATTAATAATTTTTCAAAAAATATAATTAATAATTAAATTAAACATATTTTTAAAATGATTTTCAAAGTTTATATTTTATGAAACATAAAAAAACTTTAATTATGTTACGTACTTTTAAATTGTATAAAATATTAATTCTAATAATAATAATAATAAAAAAAATACTATTAATACTAATCAAGGATGTAATTAAATAAAGCGATAAAAAGCTCTAGAGCTTAATGAAATGTCACTCCAACTAACGTTTCAAAAAATAAGACCAGTTTATGGTCGTCAACCATGACCATAATGTGCACTTGAAATAAAATAACAAATTTGTTTAATGGTTTCTAATACGTAAGCTTTATATATATATATATATATATATATATATATATATATATCAAATAAGTTGTATTATGAAGAAACTATTTGAAATAAATCGACAATAAACTATATTTAACATATAGTAGAACATGAAAAATGCTCATGCTAAAACAACAACATTCTATGCTAAATACCAATTCCCAAAGGTATTTTATAGGAAATTTATATAATTAGATAAAAATTAGAAACAAACAAGAGTTGTTAATTATTATCATAAAGTTACCAAATCACAAGGGTGGTGTCAGATCGGTTTGAGCTTGGCTTCAAAGATCAAAAGTATCAGGAGGTCCCAAATTCAAATCTAATGAGGAATAAAAATCCCTTTGTGGCCACAGAGGTTTAAATGCGGTGACTCTGGGCTATCTGCAAAGCAGGTGGTCACCCTGGGATTAGTCGGCTCGCATAACGGGTAGGATATCCAGGTTAATAAAAAATATGTTACTAGTTTCCTATATTAGTATATTCAATGAAACTATATACATAATAAGCATAATAAGTTGTTAATTATTATCATAACGATTTTCAAAACAAAAACCAATATAAAGTGTTACTATAATTTCAGATAAATATATATTGACATGACATCGAGATATAAAAAAATGAGTTTTTGAAAATTAATGAAAAAAATAAGGAAAAGAGAAATCATGATCGAAAGTAATAGAGTCCAAAAATAAACAAAATCAACAACAATCAAGTGGTAAAGTTGTAATTTAATAGTTTAATCCCGAGTTCAAGCTGACCCCTCTACAGTCAAATTTAGTATATGGTCTAATACGTAATTTGTTATATATAAGCCTATTTATTAAAATCAAATTAAACCAGACTTTCAAAATGTAAAAAATTTATCTTGATCTTGATTTTTTTTGATTAACCTGGATATCCAACCCACTATGCGAGCCGATTAATCCCAGGACGACCACTTGTTTTTGCAGATAGCTTAGAGTCATCGCATTTGAACCTTCGTGGCCACAAGGGTATTTTTTATTCCTTATTAGATTTGAATCTGAAACCTACTTATACTTTTGACCTTTGAAACCAATCTCAAACCAATCAAACACCATGCTTGTGGTTCTTGATCTTGATGTATATAAAAAAAACATTAATAAATAGGTGTGAATTCAACCCTTTCTTTAACAACTAGTATGACTTTTATGAGTTTGACATCATGTTTTGAGTCACAAGATGTGATATCATTGTATATTTAAGTTGTAACATACATATAATATTTAATAAATAGGCGTAACAATGTATTAGAAAGAGAATTAAGATGAGAAGTGTGAGAAGGGATCTCGACCCTTAATCACCTTAAATCTCAATCCTACCTATAAATTGCCGCTTGATATGAGGATTGATCCGGTACGTCTCATCTCAATGTATTCCATTCTAATGTGCATGCAAGTATACAGATCCCTTCTTACGTTTAGTACCTTAACTCTTCTTCTTACTGAAATCAACCTTAATAAATAACTCTAGAAATTTAATCACTGCCCATATATCCATCTAAAATGTTAAATAGCTAATTTTTGTTTTTAAAAATGTTTCACAAAAAATATATTATATTTCAATTCATTAAAAAGAGAATATAATATTTAACATAATATATTGTTTAAT